TCTCCATGTCTGTTTTTCATTGTTCCCTGGGTCATTATGTTACAAACCCACCCACAACTTCACTGCCTTCCCCTGCTCCCAGCCTCCGAAGGTGGCTCCCCAGCACAGAGCAAGTGGTAGATGTAAAGCCAAAATGAAGATGAGGCCAATGCTCTGTTCCCTCCCCCACTGGCTACTGGCCTGCTCTTCATTGGCTACTGGGATCCACCCTACTCCTGGGCCTTCCCTTTACTCTTTCTTCAGCCATGCAGTCTCCCCAGTGCCCTGGCCTCTCTCACTCCAAGCTTTTGCCCCCTTCATTCCACCTCCCTGCAATACCATTCCTCCCTTGGCCACCTGGTAACATCCTGCTCATCTTTCATGGGGTCAGTGTGATGTAGAGAAAAATACAAAGGCTTTGGAGTCCTAAGGACCTGGTACAAAGCCTGGCTCTGCTGGTGTGACTTTGGGCAGCTGAGTTTGCATTTCTGGGCTGAGCTACCTCCTTCGTAAAAGGAAAACAGTGAGACCCATCTCCTAGGATTGCTCTGAAGATTCAGTCACAGGGACTAGCATAGGCATTTTCTCCTGGGCCTCCCTGTAGCTCTCAATCCTGTACTGAGGCCACTTCTTCTGGCTCTTCACTAGTTGCTGAAAGGCTACGTTCCACTGTTTGGTTCATGATAGAGGCTTCATAGATACTTGTTGGCTTTTTTTTTTTTTTTGGCTTAATGAAGGTCCCTCAAAAAGGAGAGGGATTCCCCATGCTCCAACACTTCAGGGGGTCCCTTGCACTCATACAGACCTCTGTTTCCCTTTCACACATCCTGACCCACAGCACCCAGAAGGCTCTTTCTGCCACCCTGGCCTTTGCCTGCTCTAGTGCTACTGACCTGCTTTCCTGGCCTGGCAGCAGCAGCAGCCTCATCTTTGCCTGAAGCTGGGCTGACTTTCAAATTCTTAATCCCATTCTCCAAGCCAGGAAGATACTGCCTGAGGTGACACTCTGCTCCTTCCTCTGTGTCAATTTTGTCCTCCCTGGATACCACCACATTGCCCTAGGGCTCTGAGTGGAGAGGGCACTGTAACACTGTCCCAGGAGGCAGGTGGGGGCCCCTTTGGCTTTCCAGAGAGCCATTCCTTTAGTTCTGGCTGGAAGGGAGCCCAAGTAGGTGAGGCACACAAGAGCAAGACAGAGTGTGTGTGAGAATTCCCGTGTGAGTCCTACAAGGACCTGCACATCCATCCTTCACATCCCATCTCCCCACCCTCACCTTACCGCCATGCCACCTACTCCCGGCCCAGCAAGCTGCCTGGGGTTGGGCTGAGGGAAAGAAAGAGTAAATACATATTTATTAAGTGCCTTCTGTAAGCCAGGCATGATGCTTGGCTACTTTCACAAATATTGTCTCTCCATTTTTTCTTTTTAAAAAAAGTTTATTTATGTTTTATTTTTTAAAAGATTTTATTTATTTATTCATGAAAAACACAGAGAGAAAGAGGCAGAGACACAGACAGAGGGAGAAACAGGCTCCCTGCAGGGAGTCAATGCAGGACTTGATTCCAGGACTCTGAGATCACCCAGGTGCCCCTAATGTTTTATTATTATTAATAAATATGTAATCTCTACACCCAACATGGGGCTCGAACTTGTGACCCCAAGGTCAAGGGGTCACATGCTCTTGCGACTGAGCCAGCCAGGTGTCCTTTCCTAATGTTTTATTTTATTTTTATTTTTTTATTTTATTTTACTTTTTTCCTAATTTTTTTTTTAATTTTTTTTAATTTATTATAGTCTCACAGAGAGAGAGAGAGAGAGAGAGAGAGGCAGAGACATAGGCAGAGGGAGAAGCAGGCTCCATGCACCAGGAGCCCGACGTGGGACTCGATCCCGGGTCTCCAGGATCGCGCCTTGGGCCAAAGGCAGGCACCAAACCGCTGTGCCACCCAGGGTTCCCTTCCTAATGTTTTAATAGGTAGTACAGCACATGGCAAAAACTCAGAAGATTCCAGGGTGCCTGGGTGGCTCAGTTGGTTAAGCGGCTGCCTTTGGTTCAGGTCATGATCCCAGGGTCCTGGGATTGAGCTGCGCATCAGGCTCCCTGCTCAGCGAGAGGCCTATACACCCCCACCCAAGCATGCTTGCATGCTTTCTCTCAAATCAATAATTAAGATCTTAAAAAAAAAAAACAAACAAAAAACCTCATAAGATTCAAAATGGTGAAGAATTAATTTTCCACCTTTCCTGTCCCCCCAGGTCCCTTTTGCAGAAGCAACCACAATTACTCGGGTCTTGTGTGCAGCCTGGAAAGATTCTATGTATTTATAAACCTATACTTTACTTCCCATGACTCACACATAAGGGGAAACTGAGGCCCTGAGAGAAGTGAAGTAAGGTAACAAGCTGGTAAGTTGGCAGAATTGGGATTTGGAACCAGATCTAATTGAAAAACTCAGCTCTTTTCACCACCCACGCTCTGGCAGAGGTAAGCCCTGGCATTGACAAAGCCTCTCCTGAACCACTGGCTGTGACAAATCTCCATTCTAAGGCCCTAGAGATCTGGAGATCTGCCTTGCTGTCTGTTGAGTGTCCAACGCCTGTATTGACTTAATAAGGAGGAATCATTCCCCTATGAAAGAAGATAATTTCCTGCCAGGGTCCTTCCTTGGCTTCTGTCCCCAAGAATAGCCTGATTCCCAGGGTTCAGAGCATTCTGGAGAGGGAAGCCACATGAGCATAAGTCTCTGACTAGAGGGGATTGTGGTTGTGGTTTCAATGATGTTTCCAGAAAATGGTCTCATGTTCTCCCTGTGGCTGGGCAGGGCTGAGGGAGTTGTGAAGCAGGGAGCTGTTCTCTCTTCTCCATGGCAGCCAAATGTGTGTTCTTGAGAGCAGGGGAAAGAGGCTGGAGTTAGTCCCTGGGTGAGAGTAGGTTGTATGTAAGCACAATGGCTGCCCACCAGAATTCCAGGCTCTCCTCAAGCCTTTTTCTCTCCTGGGTCAGGACAAGGTCAGCTAAGAGATGACCAACTCTCTCTCCAGTGGGTGTCAATGCGTCTGTAGGTATGTGTCCGGGAAATTTCTATGTGGGCTCTATGTGGGCTCTCTGTAGGGCTTTCTGGATCGTAGCTTCCCATTCAGTTTCTTTCTCGGATTCCTTCTGTGTTATGTCCCAGTTCCATGTCCCCTCCATCTAGGGAACTACATCCCTGAGGCCCAAGAGAAGAGGGTCTCACCTTATCTGAATTGGCAAGTAGGGAGAGGTAGGTGTTAGACCTTCCTTCCTGTCTTAGGTTGACAACATTCTTGTTTTGCTGAGGTAGTCACCTAGAACATTCCGTCTTTCGTGTCTGTGCACACAGCCAGCCAGATCTAGCTTGATTCATAGTGGTCAGTCAGACATGTGCTGTGAGACACAAGAATAGAGAGGTGTACCTACCCCACCCTCCAGGACATTCTTTTTTTTTTTAATTTTTTTATTTATTTATTTACGATAGTCATACAGAGAGAGAGAGAGAGGCAGAGACATAGGCAGAGGGAGAAGCAGGCTCCATGCACCGGGAGCCTGATGTGGGATTCGATCCCGGGTCTCCAGGATCGCGCCCTGGGCCAAAGGCAGGCGCCAAACTGCTGCGCCACCCAGGGATCGCCCTCCAGGACATTCTAACTAGCACCCTGTAGCCGTCACTCATCAGCAGCCAAGGCAGCTGGGACAGAATTCTAGACCTCACTTGTCCTAGGAAGAGGGGTGCAAATCTTTGCTGTTAATAGCTCTATAGTGCCTAAGTCTTTCAAAGCCCTATACCTGTATTATCTCACTTAATTCCACAACAATGCTACAAGGTAGGTCCTATGACCATCACCACATGACAATGAGGAAATCTAGGCCAAAAACTTGCTCAAGCAGTTGACAGCAAGTCTGGTTTTAGATTCTTTGCTCTTAATTACTACACAGTCCTCCTGATTTCCATTTCTATTCTTAGAGTATAGGGTTTGTTCCTCAAATATTTATTGGGTGTCTGCTCTGGGCTGGGCATGGGATGGACTTAAAGGTAAATGGGATATTGTGTGCTGTCAGGGGTAGAGAGATACATAAACAAGACATTGTCCTTCAACACAAGAGGTGCCACGATCAAGGCATGAACATCATGTGATGGGAGACAGGGAGAGGGAAGTTCTCACTGCCTAGACAGAGGGCAGACATCTAGAGGGCAGACCACATTCCAGGCAGAGGGAACAGCATGTGTGCAGATGGAAAACTTAGAAGAAGGAGAAATATGGTATACTCAAGTGCCAAAACATCTTGCATAGTGACCGTCAGAGGGGTGCCAGAGAGCTCAGAGCTGGTGTTTCCGTCCAGCTTCCTGCTCCAGCCTGTCCTGCTCTAACCTCCAAGTGCCCCGCACCTACTCTGGGCAAAGCACTGTGCCAGGTGTTGGCCCAAAGTGTGGGATAGAAGCAGTTGCCTAGGTGGGGGTGGGGGGGAGGGAGGACTTTGTGATCAGCTACAGACACAAAGATCTTTGTGGTTGGTGCCATTCTGGAGGTAAAGGGAAGGCTGCTGGGAAGAGCTGCCAAAGGAGGTTTATGGGAGAAGTTGGGGCCTTGCAGATCTCGATCATCTCTTGACATGAAGATTTTTCAGACTGTGAGGAAGGAAAGCTCGGTGTCTCTGTGTGGGGTCCTTCTTCCGCCCCTGCAGCTAGGTTTCTGGAGATCTGACACGTCTTGCTTTGGTGCTGGCCCTTGGAGGGTTGCCAGGGAAACGGTTGGCCAGCTCCAGAGATATAGCCAGAAGAGAGGAGAGTGGGTGACTCAGGCTCACAGACACCACACCCCCTCCCCATTACACGGAAGAGGCTCTCAGAGACCCCTTTCCTCTGGATCTTACAGAGGCGATCGTGTTTATTCTTCCCTTTCTTGATAGAGCAGTCCTTCCCTCCCCGCAGCCCTGACTGGTGGGAGCTAGCAAGAGTCCCCAGGGAGGGAAATGGTGTCAGACGCCCCCCCCCCCTTCACTCTAGAACGGTGGACGCATCCAGTTGGCCTGGGCGAGAGTAAACTCCCGCTGTGCCCATTCAGGCTTTCCGCCCGGGGGGTAAGCAGGCAGCCCAGGCCGAAACGCCCTCCAGGGAGCAAACCCGGGATAATTATTGATGGGGCAGCGGTGGACTTCTGACCTGGGCCTGGGAGGGGCAGGCCCCGGAACGCGGGCCTCGGCCCGGGGGAAGGGCGGGTGGCGGGCCGCGGAGGGGGGCCAGTCGACGCGACCCCAAGAGTCAGTCGGCCGCGAGCGCTGCTCGCGGTGGTCGAGCGACCCAAACAAAGCAGCATGTGCTGGCGGCCCAGTGGGGCCCGGCTCGCGGCCCGGGAGGGGACGCCTCTCGCCGCGGCGACCAGGGGCTGCGCGCGGCGCCCGCCCCTCCCCCACGCCGGCGCGCCGGGGGGTTCCGGGCCCCTCCCCGGCGGCCGCGGCCCGGGTGCGAGGGGCCACGGGGCTCACGAGCGCGCGCCGGGCGGAACCAGGAAGCGGCGCGCGCTGGCGCGGGGCGCGCTCGGGCCGCGGTGCGCGAGCGGCGCGCGCGCCCCCGCGGGCCCGGGCGTGAGGAGACACGGCGGCCGGAGCCGTCACCCCGGGCGGGGCCCCTGCGCAGGCGGCTACGCGCGGCGGCCCGGCCGAAGGAAGGAGCGAGCGAGCGGGCGGGCGGGCGGGCGGCGGCGGCGGCGGCGGCTGGCGCCCGGAGGGCCGACGAGGTAGGAGCTGCTGGGCGAGCGCTGGGCTCGGGGCCGGGGAGCGAGGCCGGGGAGCCTGCACGGGCGGGGCCCCGCGCCCTGGCCGCCCAGACGCCCGCAGGGCCGCGCCGCCGCCGCCATCGCTCCCCGGGCCGCGGGGGCTGCGCGCTGGGGTCGGGGGCGCGGGGGGCGCCGGGGCACGCGAGGGGCGTCGTGCCGAGGCGGGGGCGGGCGGAGGGGGTCGAGTGGGGGGGCGGTGCGGGCGCGCGTGCGGGGGTGGGCGTGTGACGGGCCCGGCGCCGACCCCTGCCGGTGGAGGGGGCTGCTGGCGTCCACCCCGCGCCTCCCGCTTGCGGTGCCAGGCAGCCCCTGGCGGCTCCTTGCCTTGCCTCCTTTTTCAAAAGAGGGATCTGCGACTCCCGGGGTGGGATGAGCCCGGGGGTGCCCGGTGGGGTGAGGAGGTGTTAGGCAAGCCTCAAGGACCAGTGCCTTATAAGGAGTCATGACAACAAATACGAACGTTTCGATCCGGCCCAGGGGTCGGGGATCCCACATCAGGACCCGCCAGGCCCCGGTTGGTGAGTGTGGCAGCGGGATGCGGCATGCTTTGTTTTTTTGTTTTGTTTTTTTTTCCTCTTTCTTTCTTTCTTTCTTTCTTTTCTTTCTTCTTCTTCTTTTGCTAGCCAGGGATAGTAAAAAAAAAAAAAAAAAAAAAAAAAAAAAAAAAAAGCCCTGGTGTCGGGGGTAGATAGGGAGAGTCGGAAGGCAAGTCGTGGTGTCACAAAAGCTGGTCTGAGGCTAAAGGAATCTGGCACGACGGTCAGGCTGATCAAAGAAGAAAAAAGAACTTGTGTGGAGCAAGAGGCGTTTGCAAACACTTGTAGCTAGCAGTGATGGAAAAGGCAAAGAAGGAAAACAAGTGCCAGCTTTTAGGAAGATGGGATTAATGAAAACCACAAGAATGTGAAAGGCAGAAAGAGAAGGGATCCTTCCCAGTTCTTGTTCTTGTCCCTCGTGAGCCTGTCAGACCTTTGTATCAGATAAATAGTACTAAAAGTGGGTCATAGAATGTTGGAGCTGGAAAGGACCCTGGGATTATGCTACATTCTCTTATTGTACAAATGAGGAAATTGAGGTCCCAGGTAGATGGAGTAAGTGGCCTGCTCTGTTGTCGCAGCTGTTCAGTCGTTCTGGGGCTGAAATGTCGGGGTTGAGGACTCTCAGGTCAGTGCTCTGCCCAAAGCACTGTGCAGCAGATCTTTACCTAAATACAGTTCCATTAATTGTCACTGGAATGTCCTCGGGGAATGCCCCTTGAAAGGGCTAGTGTGTCACCAAATTATTAAACAGGTTTATGTCTTTTTTTTTTTTTTTCCCAGTCTTCAAATGGTGTTTATCATCTACTGGTATCTTAGGTTTCCAAAGTGTTTGGATAGCCGCCTGGGCCATAATAAGCTTTCAGCTGTTGCGTATATTATCTCAGATAATTTTGTTATTGTTCAATGGAGATAGCATAACTTTGCTTTTTTTCTCAACTTTCTTGTTATTTGTTTATATTTATGAGCTAGTAGGAGAGGATGTGTTTTATTTCATGTGCCTTTCATGTTTTTCTAATTTTATTTTGTAACACTGTGAACATTGGATCAGTTCTGATAATTTCAGATAGTGGAATCCTATTGATTGATTGACTTTTTATCGAGGCTTTGAGTTTTTTGTTTTGGTACCAATTTCCATCTCATGGCAGATTATAGTTGTTAGAATCGATAGTGTAACTGGGAGAAGGGGCTTCTGATTTTAAGAAAAAATTACCATTTGACAGTTTATGATGTCATGTTTAAGTAAAACACTACACCTTTGGTCAGGTAAGTGTCATCTAGTAGATTACTTGTTTTCCAGAGCCTTTCAGAAGATGAAAATTTCAAGTGCCTGGTTGAGACACAGGGAAGGATTGGAGAGAGCTTTCTTCAAAAAAGCAAAACCTCAGAAAAAAAAAGTTGATTTCTATCACTAGCAGTTTGGTTATTGCATAACTTGGAGCTGAACTACATAAAATCTTTGCTGTATACCCAACTCCATAAATTATCCAGCCTTCTCTCTTGTCCTGGCTTTTTCAGCATTCATGTTTTTGCCAACAGGATATTTTGGATTGTGTTGAGAAATTTAAGGTGGATATATTTCTTCTATGGGTACTTCGTGATATATATGATAGAAAGGGGGGAAAAGTGCTATCATTGTTTGGAGTGTTACAACATAAATATTTTGGTCAGCACTTCCTATTGTGCCCCAACTTCTCATTTCATCTTCATTTTCTGGCTCTCAATTGATTTTTTTTTTAAGTGTTATTTACATATGCAGAAACCACATCAAGACTAGTAAAGGGTGCCATTTATTGCTCTTCTGGTACTGATGTCAAGTTTTTCAAGTTATATTAGTGTTAGTATTCAAACTATTTGATTTGTGTTAGGTTTATATTTATGAATGTGCTTGTGGTGGCTCATTTGACTTGTTTTTGTGTAGGTAGGTGATCGAGGTAATCTTATAAAGGGAAGATGTTATAAATAGGTAAATAACACATGCAAGATTAGATTGCAAGTTGAAGGTAGAATCAAAGGAAACTTAACTATTCTAGTGCCCTGTAAACATATATGAATCTCAAAAGTGTTCACAGATTTCTGGATATTCTAACTACCAGTGAGACATTTTTGCCTCTCTTGTTAGAGTATAGATTACCACATTATTCTTACAAAAGGAAGGAAAAACAAAAACCTTCCAGTTTTTATTAATTTGTCTTGAGTATTTGAGTATCTTTTAAAAAGATATCTGACAATTCCAGGTTACTGAGTTCTTCAGAAAAATAATATCCCTTTACTGCACAATAAAGTGTCAGAATACTTTGACTCCGGAACTTAATAAAAATAATGTTGAAAAGTTAGCTCTAAAGTACCAGTGTCCCCAATTTTGTGTAGTGGTTAAAGGAAAAAAATTTTTCTTTAAATCTTAGCTTTGTTAATAGAAGTGTTCTAAAATCGGAAGTATTTTTTCCCCTGCAATGTTGGAAACACAAGTTTTAGGCTTATTTCTGGGAATAAGAAAGTCAAATTTCACAATCTAGTTTCCATTGATCAGACTGTTTTTTTTTTTTTTTGTACATTTAAATCGTGAGCATCACAGTGATAAAAAACTTTTTTGAAATTGTACTCATTTTTAATTATCCTTATTTTATTTTATTTATTTTTTATTTTTTTAAAATTTTTTTTTTAATTTTTTATTTATTTATGACAGTTACAGAGAGAGAGAGGCAGAGACACAGGCAGAGGGAGAAGCAGGCTCCATGCACCGGGAGCCCGATGTGGGATTCGATCCCAGGTCTCCAGGATCGTGTCCTGGGCCAAAGGCAGGCGCCAAACCGCTGCGCCACCCAGGGATCCCTAATTATCCTTATTTTAAGTAGAATATTGATATTGGATCTTTTCTTGTTGATGATAATCCCTTGTTACTGAAAAACTTAAGTCAGTTTGGAGATTTTACAATATAAATCTATGCTCTTTTTACTAATCAAAGAGAGGAGTAATTTACAGGTGTTAGATTTCTAGTTGGTTGAATGAGACCCTCACTTTTGATGGTTTCAGGGTTTTAGATGACGTTTATTACTTTTGTTAGTTTTGGACACACCCATGACTTCCTTGGAAGGTATCTTTGAGGTTTGGTTTCCTTTTTTTTTTTAATGGTAATATTGGGGTGGGGGTGCTTCCTGTTTGTATTTTCAAAATTAGGTCCACATGTTAACTTTCTGATACCGTCACATTTTAATTTTAAACATATAAAGACAAGAATCAGATGACATGTCGTTTATCTTTGTCCATTGTACTGCTTGCTTCCTGACAGCCTTACTGAGCTCAGCCTGAATACCCAGTTAGGAAGGCAGGGCATTCCTGATTCTTTTCCCAACTGTCTTCAAGGTATAGCAGCCTCAGAAGGACTCTTACAACAAAGGTGCAGTTAACAGAAAAAAGGGGCTATTGGTATCTGTCTTCTTCCAGGTACCTAGATAATGTACAACACTAAGAGTTGAAATGTGTTCTGTGGAGCCTTGAACATCAGAATTTTAAAGAAGGGTTGCCTGGGGCTTATGTTTATATAGTCTAGAACCCCATGTATTAGAGTGATTATAGCAGTTTTTGTTTTTTTTTTTTAATTCGTGAGAGACACACAGAGAGGCAGAGACCTAGGCAGAGGGAGAAGGCAGTTTCCTTGCAGGGAGCCGGATGCAGAACTCGATCCCCACACCTCAAGGATCAGGCCCTGAGCCAAAGGCAGACACTCAACTGCTTAGCCATCCAGGCATCCCTGACTATAGCAGTTTTTCTGACCTCACTTAAGTCATACAGAATGTCATGGAGAATTTAAGAACTAGAACAAATTTAGGGTATGGTAGTAGAACTTAGGAGAAATCACCCTCAGCTATAAAACTCTTCTTTGACCCTCCTGGGTAATTTTTGTGTGGTATGTCACCTTTAACAAATATTGGAATATGGGTTATATGGAGCCTTGAAGAGAAGTATATCCTTGAAAGGAATACATACAATAATGATTCAGGGATTAAAGCTAGTGGCCTTTTCCTGGCTCTTAACTAACTATATTCTAAGGACTATAATGATTAGGTAGACTCCAAATTAAATTGGCATTCAAATATATTTGCAGCTCAGGGGCATTTTATGTCTTCTAAATTTTCTTTTGTATCACATTAGTAAAGTCAATTAGCATGTTGCACAGTTATGCATAATGCACTTTGCAGTTGAGCTTAATACAGATTATCTTGACCTCCCAGTCTCCCCTCCTCAATATTCAATAAAGGAGAAGTTATAATTTGTCTCATACTGGATATTTTCTTTCTTGGATTTATTCATAATAATTACATCCATTTCCTATGTATCATAATACTATTAAGATGAAAAACCATATATTGATTGATAAGAACATTTATGTTTTGGAAGCTCGCTTGCAAGTCTACTCCGACATTCACTCTCCATTTATTACGCCATTGCTTTTGGCACTCTCTTTTTTAAAAAAAAAAATGTTTTCCAGATTTATTTCTATTATGTGAAGTATCTACATTCAGTGTACTGCTAGTTTTCTGAGGTGCTTGTGCTGACTCATTTTTTTAATTATACTAAGATATAGAGTATGATTTGAGAGTGGCAATGAGATTCTCAGAAAATATGAAAACTTTCCTTTCTGACTAGTTAGAGAAAGGGTGGGGAAGACAAGGGGAAATACATCAATGAACCAATCAATTATTGTTATTTGTTGGGATTAATTTGATGACTAATATTTTCAATGCCCATCAGGCTAAGTAAAGGGAATTTGGCTTTACCCTGTAATGATAATAGGACAAACCCAAGTATTTTCTAATACTGCTTGTTTTCCCCTGGTTGGGGATTTTTTTTTTTTTTTTTTTTTTTTTTTTTTTTGTTGCATATGGGAAATCAAGCCAAAGTTACCAGTAACAGCCACATCCATTATTCGTATTAAAAACAACTATTTACCACTCTGGGCTATAGCTCTACCTATCAGGGGCTCATCTGGGAAGATGTTAATAGTTAT